GGGGTGCCTGCAAAGACACTCCAACGCTCAAGTAAGTACCCAGCGTAATAAATGCGGTAGGTCAAAAGTAGTTACGTACCTCTCAGGAGTTCTATTTATAGGTGTTCGTGTTGGGCCGTGATTATGGGTTGGGCCCCGGGAAATTAGGGGACTGATCCGAAGTTTATGCTAATTAATTTATCCGTAATTAAGCCGGTAATGACGTTGACCTTGGCCGACCGTACCGATAAGTTCCGTACATTCGTGTGGGGTCGGTGGTGTCGGGTACTCGGCGTGTTCGGGTACGTAAAGCGTTCGGATTGCTCGGCCTAGTCGGCACCATACGGTATAAGTATTAATTTTATTTCAGTCAGAATTGAAATTAGTTCAAATTTATGTTTAATGTCTTGGACATGCAAGGAATTAGGATGTATAAATTCTCGTTGCTTAGATGCATGATATAAATTTGAAAATAAAATTAATAATAAATCTTACATTAAAAGTTTATTTAATATATAATATTTAAATATTTAAATATTTTAATATAATAATATGCTTATCATTTAAAAAATAAAAATAATGTTTTAAAGACAACATAATATTCTACTAATAATGGTAGTTTTTCGATTTCTCTTTATACCACTAGTCATTTTGGGGATTTCATTTATTTGGTAGCCCTTCTCTTCCAATACCTCCAATTTCTATAATGTATCCACCATTTTTGCCGCAATATTAAAAGCATGAGAAGGTAGAACATGAATATCAACGAATTCTCAAAAACTTATCCTAATATATTATTATTGGATGAAGTTTATTAACTGACTGAAATTTATTAAATAAAAAGTAAAACTGATACTATTTTACAAGTTCTAAATTCTAATACATACTTAAGCTGAGAATTAAATTTTGATCCTTAATTAAGTAACATAAGTAGTTTGACTTTTTCTTTTTTGTCATATTGAGCTAAGTACAATTCAATATGGTAAATTATTAGCCCATTTTTTCTGTGTGGGTTGTGGGTCATTCAAGTTAAGTCGTTGCCCTACATTCTTTATAGTTTATATATATATATATATATATATATATATATATATATATATAT